AAAAAAAAAAAAAAAAAAAAAAAAAAAAAAAAAAACAAGAAACAAAAAACAGATTCTTCCTTTTTAAACCTGTCTCCTGCATGGGCTGCCATCCGGCTTTCATTCCCTTTTGCCTGTTTGATATAGAGAGGTAAATGCACCTTTGCCAGCAACAGAGTCAAGTCACACACACTGGAGGGCCAAGTGCTATTTGATGCTCGAGAGGCCTATGTAGGAATGGGGAGTACAGTGGCCATTCATCTCCTGTCTGATCCCTTCCAGCCACTGAGCACTTGGCTGGTTTGGCACTGAATAGGGTCTTCAAAGAAAAGTGTGAGGAGAAAGGGCAAAAGCACGCATGTGTGCCAGCCGGGTTTTCCTAAAAACACTGCTGCTGCTTTGGATTTTTCCATGAGTCACTGCTAGGACAGGCCAGGATACTCTGGTAGTCTCAGTGGCCAACTCCCCAGCTGTAGAAACAGGGAGAACTCAAAAACGTGCCTTCCAACAGCTCTTGAAATCCAAGGTATTTTCATAGCATTAGCCTCTTCTGTCTGCCAACTGTGTTAAGAACAAGACAAGGCTATTGAAACTCGGGTTTCCCTGCCTGTACCTTCTACTAGGGACCCGGGGGAGTTGCCTTTCCTATGGATGCTGGCTGACTAACAGGCTTTTTCCAAACCTGGTTAGCAAAAGCCACCAGGCTAAATGCCCCGTCTGTGCCTAAAGCTTTGTGGAGCTACTGGGAAAGGATTGTTGTCCTAGGCCTCCTAGACTAATACGCCTGTCCTCTCAAATGATCTCAGCTTCCAGTCAGCCATCCGTTTCATATTGGGCCTCCTGTTGCTTAGGAACCAGAGTTGGTAGTGCTGTCTCTGCCAGTGAGCTGTGCAGTGGAGCAATGAGAAGTCGGTCTCATTAGCCTGTAATCAGATCATTTCCCCTAACAGAGCCCCTCTTAAGCTACAGGACCATGGTCAGCCCCGACCGGCCTTTTAAGGACATCTGGTCTGTGTTTACCAGACAAAATCAAAACCCAAATGTATAACAGCCTGCAAGCTGGCAGGTAGCAGTTTAAAGGTTCGGATTAATTTACACAAGATTACTTTTTACAGCCACAAAAAAGTTCTCTAGGTAGTTTTTTTGACCCCCAATCCATAAGGTGGCATCAGATACAGAGAAGGAACATAAAGTGACTTTAACATCTTTATTGATGCTCCCTGTCTTTGCACTTATATTGTACATGTCATTTAAGGAGCCCAACAAGCTTCATAAATAATGTCTGTTACATCCCCTTTGTAGTAGGGCCCAGGTGAGCTGAGATGAGTCCCAGTCGGTAACAGCAAGCCAAGTGTGGGACAGCCCAGATTAAACTCTGGGTCCAGGCCACATCAGCACTTCAGTGTTTAAATTCTCCTACCATGCAGTCTCAGTGTAGAGAGAAGCATCTGCTCCAGTGTTCTCCAGCTGCAGCGGGCCCAGCCCAGTCAGGGAGCACCCACAGGTAGCACCAGCCCAGGAGAAGCCAGCTTCCAGCCAAAGGGACTTGCCAAGTGTTCTGGTTGCCCAGTTAGAGTTCCAGAAAAATGGAGGCCACATTAACCCTGTGTCACTTCCAAGGCTGTCTGGAAACTCCTAAAGGGTAGAAGTCTCTACAGTGTGAGGTAAGACCTTTATCCCGGGGGCAGGTGGAGTGTGTGTAGCAAACTAGACCAGTGCTCCAGTTACATAAACTGAATATATTAAAGCTTTGGAGTTTTTACAACCATCCCCTCCTGACTTCCCTAAAGGTGGGAAAGGAAAGGGTACAGGAAAACGCCACTGAAGGTGGAGTACATCTCGTCAAAGTCCGTGTGAGCCAGCCTGCCCCCAGTCACCACAACATTGACTCCATCTCCTGCCTTCAAGTGCACAATGAGGTGAAAGGCGCCTGGGCCCCCACAGGTGTGTACAGCCCCAGGAGGACGATGGTATTCCAGGAACTCTCTCCTGTACCCAGCTGTGTGCAGCTGGGCAACACTGGCATTGGCAACAGACAGGACAGCTTCCACGTAGGCGTCTCTCTCGGGGGTGAGGGTGGCTGTGATCAAGTATCGCCCATCGTAAGGTGCTGTGAAGACCCCTAGGAAGAGAGAGGCAGGCAGATGGGTGAGCTGCTGTGGAGCCTTCACCAGGGTCACACAAGGCCACTGCAGGCTGCCTCGTCCTGAACAAATCAGGATGGTCAGTCACCAAACCTATAGACGGCTGGCTGCCTGGAAGATTGTGCCACCTACCCCATTAATGGATCATAAAGAACCTCTCATTTGCAGTATGAAGATGAACCCCAGTGTGGCCTCTCCTGCTGCACCTACAGACTTAGGCCACTCAGCTCATACTGATGTATTCCTCATTTCATAGCCCACTGTCCTAAGCTTGTAACATTCCAAAAGGTGAGAGTTCAGGACTTGGAGTAACGTGATTCTTCTAGCCTAAACATAGCAGCAGGTTGGAAAAACAAATCAGCCTTGACCCTGCTGGGACAGACTGCCAGTTCCACAACATTCCAGCTCTGCCATATACAATGGCATGTGCGTCCCTGAAGACTCAGGACTAAGACCCGGCCCCTGCCGTGTTAAAAACCACCTTCCTAAATCCTGGATGTCTCTTGGGGCATTTCTTCTCATTGTGTACACACAAAAGCTAGGCTGCTGGACCCAATTCCTCAGACAGCTGTTGAAAACAAAGCTTTCCCAGCCCAAGAAGAGGCAGACACTGAACCACCCAGCCCAAGAAGGCCATACTAGCTCTCATCTAGAAGATTCAGCCTCTTGGATTTAGGTGATGTTCACTTGTGATCAGAGGCCCTGCTATCCACTATCCCAGTGCCCACATGATCTGGAAGTGGCTAGAGATGGGCCACTCATTGCCTCCATCCCGGGAAGGGAGGGTACTGAGATCCTAGCCTTCAAGTCTGCCTGAGGCCACCCTGCCCCCTTCCATGCTTACTATTTAAATTATATCCTGTTTGTAACTCCTAGATCCTTTCAGGAGGTGCCTGACTCTGAAGACAGATTAGGTCCCAGTGTACTTGGCCAAGCTTTTATTTGCCTGTCTGATGGGTGCAAGCCTAGTTCAACATCACATGGAACTTCCTTGATAGTATTGACCTGCTCATGAGACTAGTTCTAGGAATGAGAAAAGTGGTGACTGTTTGCCTGCTTGTGAAGATACCAGCCTGTGTGGGTGAACAAGTGGTCCCTACAACCAACATAGCCTGAAGTGAAAGAGCCCCTCACTCTCAATCAAAACCACTAAACATAGATAGGATGGCTAAGCTTTGCTCCAAAAAGTCTGGATACCTGAATTCTTTCTCAGAGGCCTGCCAGTGACTTTAATGCAACCGACATGCCAGAACCAGTGTGTGTGCCTTAGCCAGATGGTAACCAGGCAGGGAATTATGGAGAGAGTGGCTAAAAATTACCAGAAGGATAATGAAGACCCTGTCAACATAAACAGCAGTAACTGCTACAGGCAAGGAGACGGCGCCCCATGGTCCAGACGAAATCATCCTGGGTGGCCAGTGATGGCCTACGAGGGAATTGTAGCTTTTAAGGGGTAGGGAAGCCCCATGCCTGGCTGTCAGGAAGGGCTCTGTGCCAGCATATCAGGAGGTGGACAGTGCAAGCTACAAGAAGGGAAAGACCATGTTGTCACAGCTTGTAACAGGCCCTACCACACTGCCTTCACAGGTTCCCTGGAAACAAGCATGGGTGCTGCAGACCATCTTCAAAGTTCACAGTTTAATTCTGTCTCAATGTGTGAAGCCCCTTCTGGAGAGAGCATAGCCCACCCCCACCTCCACCCCCACCCCTTTTTTTGGTTCTCATAAACACAAGATTCTGAAGGAGTCCCTGCCTGATGATTCACAGATAGTGTGTTTTGTGGCCCCCATGTGATGAGGCCAGGTGACAAAGCCGCTTATGTCCTCTCCAGCTCAGAGGACCCACACAGGATTAGGAGGGTGGGCACCTGCATTTGGACAGAGCAACACAGAATCACTCACCAGTGTTGGGGTTGTAGACATCCCCATCGTTTACCAGCACCTTATTAAAGAGGACGACGCCTCCATCGTTAGGAAAAGGCTTCTGGGTAAGGCCGGCTGAAAAGGACACCAGGGCAGGCAGTGGCACCCCTAGGGCAGAGAGAGACAAGAGTACATGGAAAGTGCTGATGTAGAGTGGGATGCACACTATGCCTCCTGCCAGAGGTCCAGAGGCAACCCTTATCAGACCAAGTACAGAGAGACCAGGGGATTGGACACACAGACTTGTCACAAGAAAGACCCCAAGGGGATTGTGGATCTAGAGCAGTACTCACAAACTAAGTATGTGTGTAAGAAAGAATACAGTTGTATGTGTAGGTGAGACTGTTGGTACTGCGTGGGGGGGGGGGGTAGGTGCTGGGTATATAAAGAAAACCATCTAGGGAGCTGCTGCTTGTGATTCAATAAAGCCTGGGCCCCCAGAAAGCTCATTAGGACCACACAGGGCCCAGCCCACCCAGTGCTCCCCTTGGAAAGCATGAACAGAGACAGTGTAGGAGGAAGAATTCTGCCTTTGAGCCACTCTCAGGCTTCAGTTCATAGAGGCCATGACCTTGGCTGTTGGGTGTGGAAGGGCTAGGCTCCAGGCTCTACCCATGCCAGAGGAAAAAGAAAGTGCAGAGCAGAGACCACCAAGAAGAACAATTCTGTTCAGGATGCTGAGTAGATTTACCTGGGGTGGCTACAGGAGGTGACTTAGGGTAGCCTGAAAAAAAAAAAAAAAGAAAAGAAAAAAACAACAGGATGTCAAATCCTGAACAGGCATTTTACAGAACTCTTTCAGCCTTCACCAAAATGCTCAAACTGCACCTCTGTCACTAAAGAAACAGCAAGAATACAGCTTGGAGTGGGCTCCTTTACCTGCCACCTTACACTTAGAGCACAAGCAGTCAGGCAAGGAGAATCTACCCACAACTCACGCACCTTCCTGCACACCACATGTGGCGTTAGCTGTGTACATACAAGCAGCAGGGTGGGACAAATAGGCCGAGTCCCAGAAGAACATAAGAGATGAACACAGAAAATGGACTCATTGTGATGGCGACAGCCCTGATGGTATCCCATCTTAGCAGACAGTCGTGGTCCTAAACCAGTTACGGATGTGTATCACATCACTACCCTCCCAATGGTCAGGTGCTCCTGAAGGTTGTGCAACCTAATCTGTTTTAAAGGGACTATGCATTGTCCCCAGCAGCCATGTCCTAAGACACATGGGAAACAAATCCCACCAGTGCTGGCCTCCGAGTGCTGCTGGGATAGCCAGACAGATGAGATGGCTTTAGTCCCCAAGTCTGTCTATGTCAGCATCCTTACTCGACTCCTGGCCAGGGCAATTTTATTTATTTTGCTGTCCTGTGGTGTTCTTGATATCCCCATGTCTGATTGGGGCAGCAGCGGGGGGAGAGGGGGTTCCTCCAAACGCTGGTGCCCTTCGAAGCTACCTTTCTGAACTTTGTCCCCTAAAGGTCGAACTCTAGACCCACAGCCCACACACATTACCAGCTGGCGTAGGCTATCCTATGCCTGCCATCCTCTGCCTCCTGAAGGGTGGACTTACCTGGCGCACCCGCATAGCCTTCCGAGCTAGGGATGGGCCCCTGCCCCATCTGTCCGTCCACTCCCTGGGGCAGGCCCCTTCCGGACATGCCCATCCCCATCCTGCCTGGAGGCCCAGCTTCTCCAGTCTCCATGATGACCCCACTAGAGCCAGGCAGGAGGGGCAACCCTGAGCTGCCAGGCCAAGCAGGCAAAGGTGGCGGCTGCAGGGGCCTCTGGGGCAATATTGGCCGCTGGCCTGTCTGTGGCGGTCTGGCAGGGTCCTCTGGCGGTGGGGTCAGGTGGGGTGGCTCAGTGGGGGCCTCCTCTGAAGGGCTGGTGGGTTCTAGTGGGGTCTTCTCAGATGGTGGCGGGAGTGGTTCAGAGGGTTCTTCTGCTAAGCAGTGAGAAAGAAAAACAGGGTTAGCATGTCTCTAGGACCCCAGTGTGAGGCCTCTTGATTAGTTACAAACAGCTGTGCCTGTGTAGCTGAGGCATTGTCCCCAACGGGATGTAAAGAATAGCACAGTTTCAGTCTGCTTGCCTAGTATCTTCTGACAGAACTACAGTCCCGCCACCGATCAGCCAGGCAGAGCAGGGAAGACCGCTGGGGCCTCCCCATTGTAGATGGTAACACTCCAAAGCAGTGTGATCCCAGCTGCAGCTCCCATGACAGATGAGACATGCCATTGGCCAGCCTCAATGTCAGGCTGGTGGCCTCACTGCTGGCTCCTGAAGGGCTGCCCACACCGGTGTCAGGAGCCCTGGCTGCCACTGTGGTTGGCACTGACCCCAAAGAAGCATCACCACTGTTTCCCCACACCGTCAGGTCACCAGGGGAGGGACTTCCCAAGAGGGGAACCTCCTGCTGCATGCGTCTCTGGTGGCCACCACAATGACTCAGCCAAGAACTTCCTTTCTCTGAATACATTCCCGGAACTAGCAGTCCAAAAAGCCCTTGCTGTGTGCTCACAAAACAGCTGAAAACCTACAACTTGCAAAAGCAAAAACCACCCACCTCCTTTATTTTCTGGTGCCTGCTGTGCCCCAGGACCTAGAGCTGAAGAGTTACAGTGACAAAATAGATTTTGTAGGTCAAATACATGTTGCTCTTCCACCCAAGAGCAGGTGGTCAGAGCACCCCCTAAAAGTTACTGCTCAGCCTTCTCTGACCAGATCTTATGAGAGAATAAGCTCCACAAAAAATTTGAGTAAATCACCATTTCAGTTCTCCCAAGGATGACGTGGATAATCCCACTGTAGATGCAGGCAGTAAACAGATGTTATGACTGTCCTGCCCTCATTCGGGAGGGTAAGTTCTAGGTCAAGGCCAGCCAGCACTACTGAAACCTCCCGGGTCGAGAAAAAAAGAATAAAAGCTACAGGAACATGTGATCCACAGAAATAAGGGAGGAAACCATGAAAGAATTGATGGTCTTGCACAAGACAGATGTTAAACGTCATTCTAGGCCAATGGTGAGGGAAGCCACAGATGTACCAGGAAGAGTTCACAAAACTGGCTAATATTTTAAACATGGAACTGAAAAGTTCCTGGGTGTATTTTATAATCAGAGTGTGTTGAGAGGATAGCATGTTTCCTCACATCTCTGAAATCTATTTTCATTTTTCCCGTATGTGATGTGCATGCATGTTTTGTATGTGTGCAGTACCCTTGTGTAGAGTCAGAGGCCAGAGGCTAAAGTCACTGATGTGAGAACCATCCTATGGCTCCTCATTATTCCCAACAGGAAGCGGGGGGGGGGGGGGGGGGAGATAGACAGAAATGGCTCTGGGGGTAAAGTACTTAGCACCCATGTGAAAAGCCAGTTTCACAGGCACTCACATGTTACTTGTACATACATGGAGGTAAACAGTCATACACGTAAAAATCTTGGGGTTAGAGAGATGGTTCAGCAAAACTCTCATACAAAAATAGTCTTTCTAGCCGGGTGACGCATGCTTTTAATCCCAGCACTCGGGAGGCAGGCAGATCTCTCAAGACCAGCCTGGTCTACAGAGCAAGTTCCACAGAGAAACCAAAAAAAAAAAAAAAGGTCTTTATAAGGAAGGTAGAAAGTGATAGACATTTGACCTTGACCTCTAGCCTCCACATGCCACCCCCCTACACTTACTCTGCTGTGTATCCAAACAGCAGAGAGGGGATCAGCCAAAGGGGAAGAGGGAATGGAAGCTGAGGGGAGATGAAAGACCAAGTGCATTGTGCACATGTTTGGTACAATTCATACACACTAATTAAAAAGCCACTGTTTTCTACTGCCCAAAAACCCAGGCTGAATCCTGCCTGCAAGTGCCAAGCTCTCACCTGAGCCTCCCTGAACTGGTGCCTGCCTCTTAAACCACCTCTTCAGCACTCATCCCTGCAGTCTAGTCCAAACACCACCCCCTCTGTGAAGCCCTCAAGATCTGCCCCTGGGGGGGGGGCGCCAGGGGGGCTGGAGCAATCTTGCTTCTGAAGCAAGAAGCAATATAACCCCTTTTGATTTTGTCTATCTTGCATCTACGGCTGGATGGGTGGGCGTGCAATCTTCACCTCTGGTCCCCAGGATTTGCCATAGGACCTAGCATATGACATTGAGACAGAGGTTCTAGAGTATGATAGTTACAATTCACCCAGGAACCCCGATTCTACCCCAAATCACTGCCATACTTGAGCAATTTGGGCACACAGGACCATGGTGGCTCTTTTTAATTTGGGTCTCTCAACACCAGACTCAGCAACAAGTGGAAAACATTGAAAGCAGAAACTAAAATAAGGTCTGAGGAAAGAGCCTCCGATTCATCTTGGGGAAGTCAGGGCTCTAGGGGTGAGCAGAGCTGCAGGCTGGGAAACTGCCATCACCTCATGGGGTGGTGAGTGAAAAAGCTGCTTCTGACCCGGCTTGGGCTCCACCCAGAGTCACATGGTGTTTCTAAAGATACTTATTACCAAATCCTAGCAAAGGCTGAGCAGCGCTCTTCAGTCTAGAGAGAGCAGTCTCCTGAATGCACAATTTCTCATTCAGAATGTGAGCTCCTCACCAGAGCCAGGTTACCTACCACCTAAGAAGTGAGTGTAAGAACACTAGAGCCTCAGGGCTGGCCCAGGACATCGGAGAGAAGAGGAGGGTTCACTCCCTGGGTGACCCCACCCTATCCTTCAAAGCTCTGATTAAGTTTTCTAGCTCATGGCTATAATCTCAACACTTAAGAAGCTGGCTGAGGCAGGATTGGTGTAAGTTTGAGGCCAGAATGGGTCATACAGTGAGCTCCCGGTCAGCCAGGGGTAGAGACTGCCTCACAATAAAGGGGAGGGAGCGCTGATGAGAAGCCAATGTCAGCTCTACTAAGACAAGACTTCCTCAGATGGTGCGGTCTTTCAGAGCTGACACCATCCATCCGCAGGGTCTAGCTTTTATCTGCTGCCGACGTACCCTGGGCATAGAGGGGCTGAACTCCTGGCAGAGGCTGGCTATCCTGGGCGATGTGTAGTCATAGAAAGGTTTTGAGAAAGTGACCCTTACTGTTACTTCTAGGTCTGCCTTCCAGGGTTCCAGGTCTAGCAGGTTCCAGGAAGCCCGCAAAACCTCCCTACTTCTCTGCAGCGCCCCCTCTAGTCATCCAGGCAGAATGCAACCCTATCAGACAGGTACTGTCTTATAGCACACTGCATGAATGTCAAGTGCAATCCATCAGAAGACGGGCACTAATACTGGTTTCCCTGTGTCCAGCACGTGTATCCAGCTGTTTCTTTGCTCAAGAACTGAAATGGGGGCGGGGAACATATCATAAAAGAACAGATAGTAGAGAGAGACCCTATGAATGTAATCAATGTGGTAAAGCCTTTTTATAACACTGCCATCTTGTATGTCATAAAAGAACATACTTGAGAGAGACCCAGTGAATGTAATCAATGCTGTAAAATCTTTGTATCATCAGCCTTTAAAATCATGAAAAAAATTCATACTGAAGAGAAACCCTATGTATGTAAGCAGTGTGGTAAATTTGTGCCTTTTACATATCACAAGAATCCTTGAGGGCCTGAGAAAATTCATACTGAAGGGAATCTTACTGTAAAGGATTTGGTAAGATCCTTAGCCAACACACATTTAGTTACACAAGATTCCAGAGAGAAAAAATCTGACAAGTGTCAACAATCTGTTCAAGCATTATATCTCTATTTTGTTTGCACCTCTAAACTCATGTGGAAAATATCCTATGAATTGTTTCATAGGTAACCATTTTGATTTCAGTCTTTAACTACATAAAAAACTTATTTCTGATCAGTTGATTTCTCTAAATTGAACCCTATGTACTTGCTTTCTGTTACATGAACCAATTCATGATGAAGGGAAACTGTTAAGACTTTAAATGCCTCAACACCTGGGTTATAGAAATGAATGCTTACAAGATGAAATTTTCACATGTGACTGAATTTCAATTATGTGATGTCTGTGTCTGGGTTTGTGACTGTTCATGCTTGTTCCCAAGAAGGTTAGACCCTTGAGGATTTCAAAAATTACAGAAAGTTCTCAAAAGACTAAAATAGGTCCTGGCAATTACCTTATCATTTTGCTCATCCATATCTCTAACCCTGTACATACTTTAAATCCTTTTTATATCATATTGATGTAGGTAATAGAGAAGAACTCAAGGAAGATAAAACCATATTCATGTAAACAATTTGGCAAAAAAAGAAATGGGGGGCACTAACTGGGGATATTACTCATTCAGTAAATTACTCATTCAGTAAAGTGACTGTCACAGACCCTAGCACTCACCCACGCAAAAGAGCTATGTGCAGGGGCACCCACACATGTAACCCTGATGCTTTGAGAGAGAGAGAGGCAGAGACAGATTCCCTGGAGCTTGTTGGAAAGTTGAGAAACTGAGTTCCAGGCTCAGTGGGAGAATGTCTCAAAAATAAGGTCAAGGACAGAGAGATGCCTTGGTGGTTAAGAGCGCAAGGATGCCCTCAGAAAGGACTCAAATTCAGTTTCCAGTAGCTATGTTAGGAGGCTCACAACTGCTCGTAACTCCAGCCCCAGAAACCTGATGCATATACCACATTATATAGAGATATATAGATAGATATAGATATAATTACATATGTTGTGTGTGTGTGTGCTCCTTAAAAAAATAAAACAAGGTGGAAAGTGAGGAAAACAGCAAGATTGACCTCTGACCTCCATACACATAATATGTACACCACATACAAAAATCACACACATAAAAGTCATGTTTTAAGTTTATGGTTATGTGTTAGGCCACATTTGTAGCTGTTTTTGGCCAATCACACATGGCCTGCGGGTCAGGGGTTGAACCTGCCTGACAGAGGATGAACCTTCCAGCAATGTACTGAAGCTAAAGAATCTACTCACTGAGATTCTATACTTTAAA